ACCAAGAACTTGTAACTCACGACGCGTTGATTCCTTTGTGATCTTCGGGTGGGTATTTAGTACCCTTTGTTCGTTAATAATATCATCAACCCCTATTGCTTGCGCAGTGTTCATCGCTTCTGGTGTCATTTGTGTCACAGCTTTTTTTACAACAAGTGCAGCAACCAGGACTGAACGGCGAAATGACCGCAAATCTTGCAAGGGAAAGAAAGTCACTACCTACTCACGTTATATATTCATGCAGCCAGAGCAGGTTCTGGTCCTTCAATAAGCACACTTCTTAAGATATTTACGCTGTCCTCATGGACTCTTACATTAATCAATTCATCCTTGAACCCAGTTATTTACTGACCTGCTGGAAAATGAGGCACATTGGACAAGCCGCGATGAACGTACTGCGTAAGCGCAATGTATTTCAAGTAACGACTGAAGACACGCAAACCAATGCACTAAAAAAGCTCAAGAAAGAGCAGGCGGCATTTAGACTTAATCTTTTACACCCTAACATCAGTATGCATATTCTCCATACTGTTCTGTATACATTTCCTGAGGTGCTGTCAAGGAGAATTTGTTTAACAGTCAGAAGCTTCTTTAGTTGGTGATCATTTCCTTTATTCTCGTGACATTAATGTGTGACTCAGGGGCGATATTGTAAGGAGAAATTAGATGATTGTCACTCTTAGGCATTAACCCTCTACACCCTAACATCAGTACAGTCGAACCTCGATTATCCGGACTCATCGGGACCTCGGTAAATAGTCCGGATAATCGAGAGTCCGGATAATCGAAAATATGAATATTAATGAGATAGAAATGTGAGATAATTATCTGCTTATCTTTAATCAATAGAACGGCAAGCTTTCGCTTCGTAGGCATGTTTTTTATTTGAGTTTATGATCGATCGCTCGTGTGTTTACATAACCCACGCAGAAGGAACTAATCAAGCATGAAATTCCCTTGGCAACAAAACAATTGAGCCAACCATATATCAGCTGAACGCATCAGAATACTTCTTTGACTAGTCGCACTTTCGAATTTTGAAAAGCGCATAGGATAATACGCTGTTTTAACAGTCTTTTGAAAGGATTATTGGGCTTTTTGCGACTTTGAGTTTTCAAGATCACAACTAATTAATATTCATGGAAAATTGGGACCAGAGAAGAAAGTCCGGATGATCGAATAGTCCGGATAATCGAGGTTCGACTGTATTCATATTCTCCATACTATGCTCTGTACATTTACTAAGGTGCTGATAAGGAGAATTTGTCTAACAATCAAGAGTTTCTTTAGTTGGTGATCATTTCCTTTATTCTCTAAATATCAATGTGAGTTTTAGTGGTGATATTGTAAGGAGAAATTAGATGCTAGTCACATTAAGGGGTTAAAGGAAAGTAAAACGGTTACGTTGACTACATTCTTCTCGTGACGTGTCTTGCGTTACCGAATAATTATGTATGAAGCTGCGCCTTTTTGGATTGCAAGGAATAGAGGACGTGACTGCATATCGCGGGTATGCAGAATGAGGATTGTTTTACCTCATCCTCCGAACGTTAGTCAGTCATTAGACATTCTTGTCAGAGACTTCTCCCAGGTCGTGCATGCGCGCGCATTTTTAACAGGCAGCTGTTCAATCCAATTTTAATCATTAGTAAATGTTGTTTAGTTCACTTGAAGTTATTTGACAGTTGATGTTATGAATCACCCCATAAAATAGTTCACTTTCTCGTCCCTTCTATGAAAATGCCAGTTATTTAAACACATTAGGTTACGAACTAGAAACTAATTACAAAACAAAAGAAGAATAAACAATAAAATTTGAAAGTATACCATAAGAGATAATGAGCGAAAGACCAGCATTGCATTATGAGGCTCAAATTAATGACACCCAAAACAGAAACACTGACAAAAAAAAAAAAACCAAGAAATTAGAATGTTCTACAAAATCTCGCACAATTTGTTGAAACAGTTCTTTTTCATTTTGTGTTTTTTTGTTCTATTGAATACAGCATCACTCAATACAGTTGGGCAAACGCCTTAGGACACTCCGTCAGCATCTAAATGTTACTCTGTTATCTTTATATATCGAGCAAGATTATCATTTCCTGTTCATACCCAGGTTCTTCCGCTTAAAAATTTTTTTAAACTTTTAAGATAATTATTAGATCTTCTCGCCTTGAGATAAGAATCTTTCTGAATTGAAAAACCTAGGACATCTTTTGTAGGTAGATCAGATAAATGACACCTGACATCAGAAGCAAATAATTTGTCAAGTTTGTAGATGAAATGTATTCAAATTGGCGACTCTGATGTGATACCAAGCGTCGAACAAGCCTTTTCTGACTCGTGTGAAAATTTAAACACAGGCAGTTTAATACCTTTACAAAATACTTCATATATCACTTGAAGGTTTAATTTTTGCTATTCCTTACTTCGAATTATCATGAAAAATCCTCTTTGTCGCGAACTGTTGCTGTCTTGGCCCACGGGAAATGAGTACGTCAAGTTATATTCATGGTTCATTACCAATTGCGTCTTCAACTCTTTCTTGTCCATTACTGCCATCATATTTAACTGTGTCACTATCAAAGCAGTGACAACAACTTCATCATTGCCAAAGACTCTAAGAACACTTCTCCTGAGCCTGGCTGTGTCCGATCTTGCTGTTGGTTTACTAGCGCAACCCTTAAATATCGTTTTGCTCTTCAAATGGTTACAGATGAACGCAACAAACGGTCCGACTTGTCCTACTTATACGACGTTTATTTTCATCGGAATCCTCTTTTCTGCAGCTTCCTTTTTCGGTGTTATGGCTCTAAGTGTAGACAGATTTCTAGCCATTCATTTTCATCTCCGATACGAGGAGCTTGTGACTCACAAGCGTGTTGTTTCCACAGTGATCTCCTTATGGGTGTTCAGTGCTATCCTTTCTTCTTTTACGGTATCGTTTTCTTGGAATACTACCAGCGCAATTTTTGCCCCAATTGGCGTTTCTTGTCTTGTGATCTCCGCAGTACTGTATTGCAAGATTTGTTTCGTCGTGCGACGCCACAAAAGTCAAATTCATGTTGTGCAAATACAACAAGTGGAGCAAGATACAGAGGCTGTCGCCAATCTTGCAGTCAGCAGAAAATCAGCAGCTGGGGCCTTTTATGTTTATATTGTGTTTTTGATCTGCTATTTGCCACAATTTTGTAGTTTTGTTGCAGCTTCCGCAAGCTCAGGACCAAATACCGCAATTAAGATTTTTACTATGTCTTCATGGACAGTTGTCTTCCTAAACTCATCCTTGAACCCAATTGTTTACTGCTGGAAGATGAGGCACATTCGACGCGCTATCGTAAGCGTTTTGCGAAGTTCATTTTTAAGACACAATTAATTAGCTGCGTTATAAATCCATGTGCAAAGCCGAGCTTAGATGAAGAATAGGTGATTGTGGAAAACATGCACAAAAAATAGTTATTTCCTTTCGTAACTCGCGGCGTTTAAAAATCCAAGAAGAAGTTGATGTCATATTTTGCTGGGCTTTTGGCATATTGATCAAATTAGTCTTCAGGATAACCTTTGATTAAGGCAAGCACCAAGCAAAATTAATTACTTGTGTTTGATTGTGCTCGGAAAATTACAAAGTTATCAACAATTTGCTTTAAGATCGATAGCGAAGAAATACACTGTGCGCGGAAGGGGTAAGCGAGGTGCACTCGAAGAAATGGGGCAGTGTACCGTATTGAGTTGTTGCCTGAAACAAATGTAGTAAGACTGCGGTAACATTTTCAACTGTCGCAACTTTTTATTTGAAAAATGCTCCATTTTGAGGCCAAACATAAACAAGACCAGTGCCAATGCTAAACATTGCTGACTCATGACGTTCCACCTGTTTCAGAATTATTAGTGTACACAACTGATCACGACTCGTGCGAAAAACGTGAATCTCTAGTGGTAAACGTGTTACCAGTAGGATATATATTCAAACACATCATGAGGTTTTTAAGAATCTATATCATCGGTATTTACAACGCAACCTATGTAATTAATAAATTAAACTATGCCTCGAACCATTATCTTTTTATCGTTTTCATGATTGGTATCTTTTTCTATCTCTTTGTTTACGGTCCTCCGTTGAGAAAATTATTGAGTATGACAGCTTAACGAGTAAAATAGCTGTTCAGGAAGTTGTCATGCAGTTGTTCTTTCCTTGTACTTCCTCGTATGCATAAAGTGCTGCGCAATCGCCTCCCATAACTTGCTTTCGCGCTATATTGAAAATAAACATAAAGTCATAACGTCCGCATTCTGCAAAGGGAATATTTGGGAAAACTGTTGATAGCTTTATAATTTTAATAAAGACTGTTAGAATCTGTCGTAAAACTATGTTAGTTCAAGCAAAACCTGTTTTTTTCCTCCGAAAGAGAATATAAAACAAAACAAAAAAAAATTCGCAACTTCTCCATTGTGAGACTTGTGAGTAAAAACATCACACCCTCGTCTTGCCGCGCGTTTGATTGAAAACGAGAATAACTCAAACTAGATGTTCTCTCAAAACTTGAGATAATTTCCTCGATCAGTACATCTTGTGTAATCAACATTTAAAAACAGCTGGAAAAGTTGACCCGGAACAATGGGCCATTTCTTGATACGTTTTCGATCTGAACAAACGAAAGATACATAATTGTACAAGCTTGTTAGGTAAAAATGACTGGCCATAGAGTTTAGCCTCCTTCTTCTTCCGCATTTCATACACTTCGACTTCATTTTCGTCCATAAAATCTCACACAAAAGAAGAAGTGACTATGAAGCCTTCTAGATTGAACAGGCTTGGTCGCAAAAGGGGTTCTGATCTGATTCAAAAATTCCAATAGAGCAACCTCGTTCTTAGGTCTCTCTTCTCCCCGCTCCAGGGACCCTGGGATCGAGATGAGCACTGATTACATGTAATGAAACATATAGAAATACGGCGTAGCCATAAATTTGTCTTAATAAAAGAGGTGTCCCGTTTCTCATAGGATGGCAAATTCCCCATTTGTTACGCTGCCATGCACGGTCACCTGACTGTTGTGAAGTTTTTGCTACAAGAGGAACTTAGCACTGAGACGTTGCTTGGAGACCGAAAGGTATCATATTACTCCTGCATCACTGTTGGATTTTAAAAACACGTTTTGTCAAGATCATATTCCGGGGGAGGATGTGGAAAGTAATTCCTATCGAGCAAATAACCACGTAGAAGGAACAAAAATTAGGTCATAAACCTGCTAAAGAAGGTCATCAAGCGAAGCAGAGAGAAAATAGGCCTATTTCTTGTTTTTGGTTGCTTATTTGCTTGCTTTCTTGCACATTCATCGATGGAACAAAGGAACAGAAGTATGTTTCAAGTCTAGATGGAGCTAGTCCAGAGAGTCTGTTTGGGCGGGATTCCTTTTCGCTGCTCCGGAGTTTTCTCGTAGATTATCTTCTTGCCCATTTATTCACCCGTGAACAGGCTACGTGCTCGTTTTTGTGTCTTAATTTTACTAGTTATCATTGTATTTCTTGCAGTTCTTGTTTGATTTGATGGTCTGTTCAAACCTGGACGAAAACGAATCAGTCATAGACTTCATCCTGCAGTGCCCAGCCCCTATTTACGCCGCAGCTAAACTCTCAAAGCATTACCGTAACGAGTCCACGAGGGAAAAAGAGCGCGGGCGCGATCTGTTGGCGGCGGGAGATGTCTGTGAGAACATTGCGTCCGAATTGCTTTCTCTCGCATGCGCAGATAGCGCCGAGATACTGCTGACCGCTGTTGACGACCGGGAAGTACCATTCTTGGATTATCTCATCGAATGCGACCAGAAGAAATGCGTGTCGCACCCATCGGTTCAGGTTTACCTGGGCGACGTTTGGCGCGGAGATTTTCAATGGGATGATTGGAAGTATTTCTTATTGTTTACGCTATGCCTGATTTGTCCACCGCTTTGGGCATTTCTTTGCATTCCCTGGAAAGACAGTTATCATAAAATACCGATTATCAAGTTTATTTGTCATTTGATCTCGCATTTCTACCTTATTGTACTATTTTGTTTCACTGTTGTGGTACCATGGACAGATTTAACTGGAAAGACATTACTACCTAGGTGGTATGAATGGCTCTTACTGATCTGGCTGTCAGGATTATTTTTATCCCAGCTCACGGATCCCCACGATCGCGCTGGACTGGGTTGGATACCCATCATTGTGCTCTTTTTGAGTTTAATTGGCATTTTTGTGCATTTAGCGGCGTTCGGGATCCATGACGACTACAAAGATGACGTAATATACGCTCGAAACCAGTTCTTTGCAATATCCATGATGCTTTGCTTTGCACAACTCCTGGACTTCCTCTCGTTTCATCATTTGTTCGGTCCGTGGGGGGTAATCATCCGGGATCTCATGTACGACCTGGTGCGTTTTCTTGTCATTTTATTGATCTTCATGGTGGGATTTACCGCGCACTTAGCGGCCGTCTATCGGCAGCTTAAACCACACAATGGAACCGCACTTGGACAACAGGACACGCCAAAAAGTTTTCTCGAGTGTTTCGAGCTACTTTTCTTCAGTTTGTTTGGATTGACAGAGCTCAGCACACTGACTAAAGACCAGGAGACCTACGTGTCTGTGTTGGCAAAAGCGACATTCGGAATCTACAACTTGATTACAATCATCGTTCTCATCAATCTGCTCATAGCTATGATGAGCGACACTTACCAAAGAATTCAAATGCAGTCAGATATCGAGTGGAAATTCGGCCGCGCTAAACTAATCCGCAACATGAAGCGGTCTACGACCACGCCTTCCCCACTGAATCTTGTTACAAAACTCTTCTCTTACATCCGTGTACTTTACAAAGCAAAATTCAAATGTTGCCGAGCCGACATTATTGATATTCTCCGCACCGACGAACAGCTTCCTGCAAGTAATTCAATAAACCCGTTATACGAAACTTCCAACTCGTGGCCTCCAAATGGAAGTATTAATCATCGCGGAAGCACGTACAGAACTGCTAGAATCGAGGATGTCATAGACTGGAAAGCCCTTGTGAAAAAGTTTGTATCTCTGCGGGGAAATACCAGCGACCTCGCGGGCGGTGGCCAGGTCAATCGCGATAAGTTAGCGTCGCCACGTGAGTCGCACGTGAACATGAGAGCGAGAACCGAGTCTGGACAGGGTCGGCGACCTGGCACTGGAATGGGTTCCACGCTGTCTCTCCATCGAGTTGTCGCTGCTACAGTGAGAAAAATTGACATCGTGTCAAACATTAAGGATGCCAGTGAAGAGTGAAGTGTGAAGTGAAGTGAAGTGTGTGAAGTGTGACAGTTGGCTAAAGTGACAGATGACTTTGTAATGCAGATAAGGGTTACTGTGAATTGTACTGACCTTGGGATGGGTGTTGAAAGTGCACTGCAATGTCAATCAACCAATGTCATCTTGTCACGGTAATCGCACTCATTGTTTGAACTCAAAGAAGCACCTCGTCCTCTGGCGTTATCTGCCCTTCACACTAAACTAGAACAATGTCTTTTTCTTTACGAATATGATGAAGCAAAATATCTACATTATCCTGAGAACAATCCCCTAACGACCTCCAAATGCGCATGCTCTATCATTTGCATAGCCTTCCAACAAGAAGGCTTCTTGCTTAGATCGGAGAGGACGTTAGAGTTCCATCCTGGATTTAAAACTGGGAATGATAATATGATCGCAATCAATGACCCTGTTTTGGTTTTGCGATATCTTATGTTACTGTCTTGAAGCTAAAACAATATGCAAAAATCTCGACTGTTTCCTTCTTAGTTTACCAAGTTTTTTCGTTTTAACTTACATTTGTGAATTTAAATTTGTTTAATTGCATACAGCTATTTATGGTCATTTTAAGTACAGTAACGTAAAGGAATTGCTTGTTTTGAGTGAGATAATACATAAGCCTAATCTCCTTAAAGGGGGTAATTTAGTATTATCAACTCAGTTGATAACGTAAATCGCTCCATCGCTCTGACGAGGGGCTAATGCTCAAAACGTCAGTTTTTTAACTCTTTACAGAGGCCAATTTACGTTATTAACTTAGTTGATAATACTAACTTACTCTAATCTCCATATTTTCACTTTGTTTATACCAACGTCGTTTCCAAGGACCCTCTTTTACTCACCCCCTTAAAAAGTGACTTTGGAAACGAGAAAAACTCGTTCCCTGGGGCTATCTCCTTCTCGCTGTCGCGAAAGAGAGAGAGTAAAATAGAGCCCACAAACGATGTTGTGTTCACAGTAATACATCGCTGAATCATTTTTTACCTACCGCCTGTTTAGTATTTACTGGACCTCTTAAATAAAGCTTTAACTTACATAGGTGCATATAACGTAAATCATCCAAAGTTTCATTTGCTCTGTGCGCATGCGTGTCGGAGGGACTTCCATCGAAATGGAAGGACTAAAATTTGAAGTAGATTTCTGGTCGATAACTGTGTTGTTACTTCAGCTTCATTTTCTTTTTCATTTAGTATCTTTCAATAAAAGGTGGACCCTTTTATATACTAAAATCTAAAGATAGTGTTTCTCTGTCCGCTTTGACATAACGCTTTCGTGGGCCTTTAAACCAAAGGTTTCTCTCTTTAGAGGAGTATATCCCTGCTACTTAATTTATTACTGAATGAGATTAAATATTTCTTCCGTTAATATGCTACCTACACTTGTTGGTTGAAGGGAATTTACGGGCTGTTTATTTTCTGAGTACAACACAAGGACGCGTACATTCACATTATAAAATGTAGCAAAGTGGTTTGCACTTTTGATGACATTGACCGTGATAACTGGGATGGAAAGATTGGAGATGAGATGCCATAAAATGTAGTAAATGAAAGTCGCAGCTCTCAAAGACAGCCTCTCTGTGGGATCCATTGGGTAACCACTTTCCTCCACATAACTTTTTTTATCCGGGTAAATACGCCCACGGCAACGCTGGTATCCACGCGTACCACAATACCTTCGGATCTAATATTTTAAATGGTTGAAAGGTTCAAATTATGACTAGTGATTGAAATTACAATAAATGATTAAATAGGGGTAAGTTTCTAAAGAAATTGAGGTGCTGCGTCGGTGGGTGGGTCATTCACCCCGACAAAGAGCAAACGCTCGAAATTTCAGCTTTAGAAACTCCTAACGGTGGCCAATTTACATTATCAACTCAGTTTATAACCTCAAACTATCTTGAAATTATTATAGGCGAGGAAAGTAGCTCCCTCCTCGTCTGGCTATTACAAGGAAAGTTGAACGATTGAGACTGGTGTCGAATAATAGGACCCAGTTTTCTCACGCCTAAACCGCGTATAAATTACCGTCGGTGATTTTGGAGGGAAATGTGTAAACAGTTGACCTTGGCGTCAGTGTTCGAAATTTAAATTTTTCCAGACCGTTCCGGATTGTAGACTTGAAGAGTTCGTATGGTACACATCAAGACTAAAAGACTTCCCTTGTCCTAAGAACTGTGTTTTATCGGAGATGGCGGCGCCGATTTTACCTGCTGGAGCTGCACTCTTCAGTGATGGTGGCTTTTGCGAAGATTTGTTTTTGTGCAGAAGGTATGTCAACGTGCCCAAATATTTCGATCCCAAACTGCTGTTTTTCGGATCAGGAAACGGACCTTTAAAACTATGCCAACGATTAATGGACAAAGTGGTAAATTCTCCGAATCTTTTGACTGTAAGGCCTTCAATCAGTTTGTTGAGCATGATTCCGTCGGTGGTAGACAGTCTGCCATCAACCATGAAGGGACTTCAGATCGTTGCCTTTGGAAAGAAATATAATTGGACACAAGATGAACCTGAAGGGGTCTTCTTCGTTACGGATTACGACACTGTGCGAATAGATGGGCTAAAGAAGAAAAAAGACATGGCTGTTGAAGATTTCTTGGAGTGGCGAAACTTTCCCAGGGAGCGTTTGTACGGTGTGATCTTTCAAGAAATAGAACCGTTGTGGTTGAGTCGTGTACGCTCTGCTGAAATATTCAACTTTAAAAAGCGGTTAGCTGATGTTTTGCAGGTGAAATCAGAGAACGTATTTTGGCTGCAAACACAACAAGAGGCTTTTGATCTTCTGTCTATCACAATGACTAAAATTTATCGCTGGCGTGAGGACAAAGAAAGCGAGGTTTGTAAAGTGGAAATTAAAATCAGCTGATATGCATAACTTAAAACAAACGTCGTATTTTACTCGTAACATCAACAATGGCCATTAACGTCGACAGATTATATTATGATGCTTAATCATATAAATGGGCCGAGATCAATGAATTCGTGTCTTTCGATTTCATCATTTTTTTTTTTTGAAGATCTTTGGAAACAGGTATTTCTAAAGGGAATCCTATTTAAATCACTGGAAATATTGTTCAATTATTAAATACGAAGACTAAATGTAATTAATTATTCATGTAAGCGCACTACTTGATAATAATTTGAAAGTGGAGTGTGCATCAAAACATCGAAGAATGGACGCGATCACTAAAAATAAGTACAACACGGTTACTGCAAGGCAGTGTTGAAGAGACCTTTCATAGTTGTAGGCTAAGACTTGGAGAAATGTCGCATTAGTTTGGTTAATCTTCTTGCATTTCCATCTCTTTTTGCAAGTAGAAGATTTAGAAAAGAGAAGAGTGGGAACTGGTAGGATGGGAGAAAACACCTGTCATAGGAATCCTTAGTCAAACAACATTCAGTTTTTTAACGTTTTGTCTTTTGTTTTGGTGCTATGTGTCTTCTAAGGTCAGTGGAGAACTAGCTGTTTGCTCTTTATTGTTTACTCAGACGGGAATTGTTACCAGTGTCCTTTGAAACTTTGAACTTCATCAAAAAGAAATTCAACAAGTGCATAAGCAACTTCTAATATACCAGTAGAATTACTCATACAATTGTTTCCAGATAAAACTTATACAGTAAAACCTTTGAGTTGTGATAGTTGTATGGAAATACTTGTGGCTTTTCTTATTTATTTTAAAGGAAAATGAAAAAATAGCACGTGGTGAAGTAAAGTTGACTCAAGAAGAAAAGCAGAAAGAACTTCTTGAACCCACAACAATGCTTTATGGTGATATTGCAGAGAAGAATGGGTAGGTGACCACAAACTTTGTTCCTTTGAAACACTAAGTAGATTGGAGGCATAGGTAAACCAAATTGTAATGGTAAGGGTTACCTCAAGAGAATTCAAAATCCAGGGTGCTATTGTTTAAGAAGTAGCTCCCATTAGTGAACCCTTTCAACCCTATGAAAGATTGACGAGCATCTAATTTCTCTTAGTAATATCACCTCTTAATTCATAAGTTAAAGTTCCTAGAATATAGGAAATCACCACTGTCTAAAGCTCTTGATTGTTAAACACATTCTCTTTGTCAACACCATAGGAAATTTATTGAGAATTTTATCAAGAATATTCTTTGTGATGTTAGGGTGGAAAGTCCATGCTTTAAACCTAAACTTTGGTTTCATCTCTCTTGTGTGTGTAGAACTTTACAGGGTTTCATCTAAGGTGCAACACAGAAATGAACGTAATAACATATATTAAGAAGGGTTTTAAGTGCCAGAAAAACCATATAAACAAAGTGAAAAAAATTACTCTCACCTAAGGTTAGTGTAGTTGTGTGGGATCAGCCCAACCCAAGGGTATGAAGAGGTTTGGACTGCCAGAAGACTACACATTTCTGACAGTGTGCCCATTGCATTACATTTTAAACAAGGGTAAACACCTCTTGCATGTAAAATAATCATTCCCCTTGCAGTCCTGTGCATGCAAACATGTTTTTCTCTACTTTGTCTATCGAGCAAACAAGGCTAACAGTGGATACTCAGTTCCTATTATGCATATTTTTAGACATGTTATGTAATCATGGTTCTTTTAAATTTTTTAGGATTGTTCTAGCTGAAGGAGTTTGACCATTTTGTTTGAGAATATGACCCCTGTTGAACTTTCAGGAGTCATGAGTTAGTTCAACTAACGTTAAAGCTCATTATACAAATATTTTCAGTGAGTTATAGCAATAATTAGGTAAATACTTTTAAGTCCCCTTGAGTTGGAGGGGACTGTTTTAAAGTTTTGCTGATCAATTTTGATATATTTTGTTTGAGAATACATTTCCTATTTTTCAGAATATATAGATTATTCTCTGATTTTAAACAGAAGCATATAACATAGACTTAGGTTGATGTCTTCTGCTTTTAAGTCAGTTTTCTAAAGTCTGCTCTGAGATTGCAGACAAAATAAGTGAACTTATTTCATAGTTACCAGTATTTTACCAAAATGTTTAGTACTTTACTATTGTTAGTATGCACAGAATTAAGTAAGATTATTTAACATGTTTGAGTTCCCATGTGTTGAATTGCAAATGAAGAAGTTGAGTGAATGCATCAATGACTAACGAGTTTAGTGGAAACAAACAAAAATCTTTACAAGTAAATAGTTCAGTAAACAGATGCTGGGATTATATTTTGAGCTAAGTATCATTACATCTTCCCAAACCTGTGGAAGCACATGTAATTATGGCCAGCTATTTGGCCCATCTGAGAGAGAATTCTCAGAGTTTTTGATACAATGCAACCTTAAAAAATTGACATAGCCAATTGCTAATCTCTTTTCTACTCAAAGTGCAAAAGCTCTAACTTAACATTTGATTTGAAGGCAGTGTCTGACCAGGTTTAATTTCTTGGCTGCACTTAATAGACATTTAACTGTTCCTTTTCCTCCCCATTGAGATATTTAACTATCTTATTTTGTCTATTTAAGTACTTGTTTCATCAATTACTGTACAACCATTGGCTCTGGAAAGCCCCATTGGGGCTGTAGTCAGTCAAGATATCTTTCCTTTACTGACTTATTCATTTTGAGTTTGCAATTAAGGTTATTAAGTAAGCTTGCAATTTAGAGCCTGGCCAAAAGTTATGCTGTCATTTCAGGGAATGTACAATTTATGTTACCAGTGTCAAATAGACCAGGTTGTAAAATTGTCATTACAAGACAAATGCAGAAGTTTGTTTGTGGCCTTTATTTAGTTTTTCCTCATACAAACATGTTGACACTCATTAGCATAGCTGCCACTAGGTTATCAGTATACAGAGAAACTCCTTGGTGTGAGATTTGAACTGGGAAAACTTAAAGAATCTTTTGTAAAGAATACCCTATAAAAGAAATGACACAATCTTTGCAAATTCACATCTACTCCTGCTGTAAAAAAATAGATGCAGCCTCCCATTTGGTGGAAAGAAAGCAAAATCAACTAACAGACTCTGTGATCAGGCAAATGCCCAACAGTACAAAGACTATCAGAGCATTATCTCTTGTGGAACTTCTTGCTTGGATCTTTGGCATAATCTAACAACATCTGACAGGGAACAAAGCGTTCTCCACCAATTGTTTCATGTAGCTTTTCCATTCTCTCAACAAATTTGTCAGCTCCATAGGTGTCAAGATAGCGGAAAGGACCTGGAAAAGATTACAGTTATTATCTGTGATCTGAAGGTGATTACCTAACTAAAAGAGACTCCAAATTGTGAATTAGAGGACAAAGGTTTCACATGGCTGAGACAACAACTGACCATCTGCCTAAGAAAAACAGGGTGCCAACCTTGTGCATCTCAAGCTGTTGTATGGTCAAATGATGAGAA